ACCCAAAATATCAACAAATGAACCCAACAATCACCAAAATATCAACAAATGAACTCAAAAAAATCAATAAATGAACCCAAAAAATTATAAAATAAACCCAAAAATCACCAAAAAGTCATCAAATAAACCCAAAAACTCAACAAATGACCCCAAAAATCACCAAAAACTTATAAAATAAACCCAAAAAATCAACAAATGAACCCAAAAATCACCAAAAAATTATAAAATAAACCCAAAAAATTAACAAATGAACCCAAAAGAACCCAAAAAATCATCAAAATATCAAGAAATTAACCCAAAAAAAACATAAAATAAACCCAAAAAATCATCAAATAAACCCCAAAATCACAAAAAAATAATAAAATAAATTAAAAAAAATATAAAATAAACCCAAAATATCAACAAATGAACCCAAAAAATGTAAAAAAACCCCTCAGAATTGACCAAAAAAAAATCATCAAACCCAAAAATCAACAAATAAATTTTAAAAAAAGCCACCAAAAACCGACAAAAAATACCAAAAAAAAAAAAAAAAGTCACCAAATACCATCAAAATTGACCAAAATAGCAAAAACTCACCCCAAACCACCAAAAAACCCAAAAAACCCCGAAGAAAACAACCAAAAAATCACCAAAAATCAACCGGAAAAGACAAAACCACCCAAAACCCACCCAAAAATCACCAAAAAGAACAAAAAAAATCATCGAAAATCACCAAAATCCCGAAATTTTCACCGAAATCCGGAGATCCGGCGCTTTTGTCGGCCATCTTGGTGCTCATTTGCATATTGGCGGCCATCTTGGCCTCCACCCTGCCCCGTCTGCCGCCATCTTGTTCCTGACTCACCCACACGGTGGCGGCCATCTTGGTGTGCTGGTGGCCATCTTGTTTGCCATCCCCACCGCTGCTGGCGGCCATCTTGGTGCGCTGGCGGCCATCTTGAACCTGATCAAGCAGCATGGCCGCCATCTTGCTCCCCACTACCCAACCAACGGTGGCCATCTTGGTGTGCTGGCGGCTATCTTGGTTCCCATCCCCACACCCACGGTGGCCATCTTGGTCCTTATCCCCTCACCCATGGCGGCCATCTTGTCAGGTGGCCATCTTGGTCTTTATCCCTTCACCCATGGCAGCCATCTTGGCAGGCAGCCATCTTGGTCCTTATCCCCACACCCACAGTGGCCATCTTGATCCTTATCCCCTCATCCACAGCGGCCATCTTGGTCCTTATCCCCACACCCACGGCAGCCATCTTGGTCCTTATTCCCCCAACCACAGTGGTCATCTTGGTCCTTATTCCCTCATGCACAGCGGCCATCTTGGTCCTTATTCCCTCATGCACAGGGGCCATCTTGGTCCTTATCCATGCACCCACGGCAGCCATCTTGATCCTTATCCGCACACCCACGGCAGCCATCTTGGTCCTTTATCCCCACACCCACGGCGGCCATCTTGGCAGGCGGCCATCTTGCCCTCTCCAATATCAACAATCACCCTCCAAACTCCCCCAAAACTCCCCAAAACTCCCCAACCCCAACCCCGAACCTCCCCAACCCCAAATCTGAGCACAAACCACGAACATTTGGTCCACGAGGGAGGCGGGAGCGGACGAGCCAGGGCCCTACTGCACCGTTTAATAGATTTATCATATAAAAAATATCTATGTACATTTATTATTCTCAGATTAGGAGCATCCCGACGGGGGCGGGGCGGGCGATTAGACCCGAGCGGGGGGCGGCGGCGGCGGCGGGGGCGGAGCCGGGGGGCTACGGGGGGCTCCGGGCGGGGTCAGTCGCGGTTGATGCGGAGGCGGAAGGCCACGCGGCCGGCGAATTTGTCGCGCTCGTCGTCGGTGCGGAGCCCGGCGGCGTTGAGGCGGCATTCCACGTGGTGATCCACGTTGGCCGTGGCGTTGGAGAACTGCACGGCCACCACCGGCTGCGTGTAGTTCACCTGCGGGGGAAAACGGGGGCGCTTAGGGGGGCCGGGGGGGGAAAATAGTCTCGGTTTTGGGGGGGTTGGGGGATCCCCAAAATCCCAGTTCCCGGGGTGGGTGTCCCGGGGATCCCCGAAATGCGATTCCCGGGGTTCAGGTGACAAGGAGATCCCAAAATCGAATATTTCCAAGGATTGAGGAGTCCAGGGGATCCCAAAATCCCAATTTCCAAGGATTGAGGAGTCCAGGGGATCCCAAAATCCCCATTTCCAAGGATTGAGGAGTCCAGGGGATCCCAAAATCCCAATTTCCAAGGATTGAGGAGTCCAGGGGATCCCAAAATCCCGATTTCCAAGGATTGAGGAGTCCAGGGGATCCCAAAATCTAATTTTTCCAAGGACTGAGGTGTCCAGGGGATCCCAAAATCCCAATTTCCAAGGATTGAGGTGTCCAGGATATCCCCAAATTCCCATTTTCCGGGGATGGGTGTACAGGGGATCCCCAAAATTCCAATTTCCAAGGATTTGGATGTCCAGGATATCCCCAAATTCCCATTTCCCGGGGACGGGTGTACAGGGGATCCCCAAAATTCCCATTTCCAAGGATTTGGATGCCCGGATGATCCTAAAAATCCCATTCCCAGGAATTCAGGTGTACGGGGGATCCCCAAAATTCTGATTTCCAAGGATTTGGACATCCAGGTGATCCCCAAAATTCCCGTTCCCAAGGATTTGGATGTCCAGGGGATCCCAAAATCCCAATTTCCAAGGATTTGGATATCCAGGATATCCCCAAATTCCCATTTCCCAGGGACGGGTGTACAGGGGATCCCAAAATCCAAATTTCCAAGGATTTGGATGTCCAGGGGATCCCCAAAATGCCAATTCCCAGGAATTCAGGTGTCCAGAAGATCCCAAAAATCTCATTTTCAGGAATTCAGGTGTCTGGGGACTCCCAAATGCCCCCAAAAAGGGATCCAGGTGTGCCCAGGTGGATCCCAAACCTCCAGAAAATTCCCCCAAAACCCCTTTGGGAGACCCCAAACTTCCCCAAAATCCCCCCAAAACCCCTTGGAGGGACCCCAAACCTCCAGAAATCTCCCCAAACCTCCTTTGGGGAGACCCCAAACCTCCAGAAAATTCCCCCAAAACCCCTTTGGGGGACCCCAGACACCCCCGAGCCCCCTCCCAGCAGGATTTCAGGGTCTCCCCCACCCCCCCAGAGGTGTTCCAAATTTTGGGGGCTCCCCATTGCTTCCTGAGGGCATCCCAAACCTCCAGGAAAAAACCCCAAAACCCCTGGGGGAGATCCCAAACCTCCAAGAAAAATCCCAAATTCCCCATTAAAATAACCCCAAAAAAACCCTTTTGGGGGACCCCAGGCGCCCCCGAGCCCCCTCCCAGCGGGATTTCGGGGTGTCCCCCACCCCCCCAGAGGGGTGCCGGCTTTTGGGGTCCCCGGGGGGGTTTTGGGGTGCTCACGTGGACGCGTTTCCCGTAGTAGGGGAAGTACATGAGGTCGATGGTGCCGTTGGGGGGGAAGAGCTGCATGGGGCCCAGCAGGGCCGCGTCCTCCTCGCGCTGGGGGGGGGACACGGGGGGGTCCCCAAATGTCCCCTGAGGGGGGGACACCCCGTCCGACCCCCCCCCAAAATCCCCCACTCCGATATCCCCCCCAAAACCCCGTGAAACGGCCCCAAAACAGCCACAGGACCCCAAAAACTGATCCTAAAAACTTTCCTGACCCCCCCCAAACAAAAAAGACCCCCGGGACCCCCAAAATGACCCCAAAATAGCACCAGGACCCCCCCCAAATATTCCTGGGACCCTCAAAACATTCCCAGGACAACCCCAAATATTTTTTGGGGTGAAACTCTGGGATTTTGGGGTTCCTAGAGGGATTTTGGGGTGAAATCAGCAGATTTTGGGATTCCTAGAAGGATTTTTGGGGTGAAACTCTGGGATTTTGGGGTTCCTAGAGGGATTTTGGGGTGAAATCAGCAGATTTTGGGATTCCTAGAAGGATTTTGTGGTTCCAAGAGGGATTTTGGGGTGAATCGCCCCAATTTTTGTAGTTCTAAAGGATTTTGGAATGAAACGAGCAGATTTTGGGATTCCTAAAGGAATTTTGGGATGAAACAAGCAGATTTTGGGATTCCTAGAGGCATTTTGGGATCAAAATTGAATTTTGGGATTCCTAGAAAGATTTTGGGGTGAATTATGTGAATTTTGAGGATCCTAGAGGAATTCTGGGGTGAAACTCTGGCATTTGGGGATTCCTAGAATGATTTTGGGGTGAATCTCCCCAATTCTGGGAATTCTAAAGGGATTTTGGGAGGAAAGCAGCAGATTTTGGGATCCTAGAGCAATTTTGGGGTGAATTAAGTGACTTTTGGGGTTCCTAGAGGGATTTTGGGTTGAATCTCTGGGATTTTGGGGTTCCTAGAGGGATTTTGGGGTGAATCTCCCCAGTTTTGGGAATTCTAATGGGATTTTGGGGTGAAATGAGCAGATTTTGGGACCTCTCCCCCCCTTACCAGGTCACCCTTGGTCCGGGGCCGCTGGGCAGAGACAAGAGACAATGAGGGGACAATGGGGGGACAATGGGGACATTGGGGACATTGGGGACACTGGGGACATTGAGGGGACATTGGGGACACTTTTGGGGAGAGTCCAAGGGGACACTGGGGACAATGGGGACACTGGAGACATTTCTGGGACATTTTTGGGGAGACACCAAGGGGACATTGGGGACACTGTGGGGACACCCTGCAGTGACACTGAGGGGACATTGGGGACACTGGACGTGCCACGAGGGGACATTTGGGGACACCTGAGGTGACACAAGAGGGACACTGAAGGTGACAGGGGACACCAGAGGTGACACCTGGGGACACCTGGGGACAATCCAGGTGACACCTGGGGACACCTGGGGACACCGGGGGGGTTGGGGACACGGGGAGGGGACAGTGACGTCACCTTGGCGGCGCAGACGATGTTGATGCTCTTGTTCTTGCCCGGGAAGAAGTTGATGACCTGCGGGACCAGTAGGGACCAGTATGAACCAGTATGGACCAGTACAGACCAGTATGGACCAATATGGACCAGTACAGACCAGTATGGACCAGTATAAACCAGTATGGACCAGTATGGACCGGTAGAGACCAGTATGGGCCAGTATAAGCCAGTAAGGTCCAGTATGAACCGGTATAAACCAGTGAAGACCAGTACACCATCCCAGTCCCTCCCAGTCCCATTAATCCCAACGACACAACACAACACCCGACCCAGCCCCTCTCCCAGTCTCTCCCAGTATAACCCAGTCCATCCCAGTTCTCCCAGCCCCCCAGTCCCTCCCAGTCAATCCCAGTCTAGACACCACCCCAGTCCCTCCCAGTGCTCCCAGTCCCTCCCAGTCCCATTAAACACAACCACAAGACCCATTACCCGCCCCCAGCCCCTCTCCCAGTCCCTCCCAGTCCTCCCAGTGCTCCCAGTCTCTCCCAGTCCCTCCCAGTCCCATGAAACACAACCACAAGACCCAATACCCGACCCAGCCCCTCTCCCAGTGCTCCCAGTCCATCCCAGTCCCATTAAACACACTTACACCGCCCATTACCCGCCCCCAACCCCTCTCCCAGTCCCTTCCAGTCCATCCCAGTCCCTCCCAGTCCTCCCAGTGCTCCCAGTCCCTCCCAGTCCCTCCCAGTCCCATTAAACACAACCACCAGACCCAATACCCGACCCAGCCCCTCTCCCAGTCCCTCCCAGTGCTCCCAGTGCTCCCAGTCCCTCCCAGTCCCTCCCAGTCCCACTAAACACAATTACATGGCCCATTACCTGCCCCCAGCCCCATTCCCAGTCCCTCCCAGTGCTCCCAGTCCCTCCCAGTCCCATTAACCCCAACAACACAATCCATTACCCGCCCCCACCCCCTCTCCCAGTCCCTCCCAGTCCCTCCCAGTCCTCCCAGTGCTCCCAGTCTCTCCCAGTCCCTCCCAGTCCCATTAAACACAACCACAAGCCCCATTACCCGCACCCAGCCCCTCTCCCAGTCCCTCCCAGACCTCCCAGAGATCCCAGTC